GGGGGGGGGGGCAGTGTGCAGGAATGGGGAAGGAGATTGGAAAAGATCTGTTTGCTTATTGATGGCAGGGAAAGGCACCATCTACAGCTCGTCGTAAAGTTCCAAGAGCCTAACCCAGTGATAGGTGTTCGTTTTTGGTGCCTCGTAGTATGCTACCAGCTGTCCCTGCCATCTTGTATCTTGGTGTTATGTTTTAAAAGATAAGGGGGGCGCCTGGGTGGCTCAGTCGGTTGAGCGTCCGACTTCAGCTCAGGTCACAATCTCGCGGTCCGTGAGTTCGAGCCCCGCGTTGGGCTCTGGGCTGATGGCTCAGAGCCTGGAGCCTGCTTCTGATTCTGTGTCTTCCTCTCTCTCTCTGCCCCTACCCCATTCATGCTGCGTCTCTCTCTATCTCAAAAATAAATAAAAAACATTAAAAAAAAAATAAAAAAAAAATAAAAGATAAGGAGGACTTTATGTGCATCAGAACTTGAGGTGGCTTCCAAAAAGGTTCATACATGGAGGAGGTGAGCAGACTGGAGTGCCTGGCTTCTGAGTGCCTTGTTAGGATCCTTTTTTTACCAATAACAGATGAATTTAAGGAAGGTCCCATGGCAAACACTACTAGGTTTTAACTCTGACGTGAATTTTAGATCTTAAGGTCTACAGGGCCCCTTAAAATAGTGATCCCGTATGCGGATAATGCAGGTATGCGGTCAGTTACTTTCTGCCAGGTGTTCCTGGATATGAAAGATTCAAGCAGCCTGAGGCACATGTGATCTGTATTCCCTTGCTTTTACAGCATGGATCTACTCCTTTCTAGATCTGTAGATGTAGATCTCCTAGAAGAGTTTATGGTAATAGTTTCTGTCATTTATGTTGGGTGCCAGCTGATGTAGGCTAGAGGCATGGTTCCTATTCATTTCCCATTCCGTTCAGTTCAACAGAGCTTTATTTAGAACCTTCCACGGTCTACAACTGCGCTGGATCCAAGAGAAATTTAAAAAACACAGTCCTATCTTCAGTAGATTTACAGGCTGAGGGTGGAGACCACCTCGGTAAGCTTTAAGCAACTGGACTGTAAGTGACACAGGGCAGAGCGATATGTTCTATACAAAATCTAATGAGAGACCATTATAGACCATTATTGGCCATAGTTATTGGAAAAGATTTCTTCAGTGAATAAAGACCTGTAATGGACTTCTGTTTCTTTCCAGTATGTTCTGAGTAGAGAGAGTGGCTGTCATAAATATTCCATCTTTGTACATCTTCCCAAAAGAGAATTATGAGTGTCCTATAAAAATGATAGAGAAAAATATGAATTTTATTGAGAAATACTGAAGCTTAGTATACCTGCCCTCTTTTTAAAATAATGTAATTTAACCATGGAAACCACAATTTTATTATTTTTATGATTGTGTTACAATTCTTTCACATGATTCAACTCTTTTTCAAGAAATGGTCTTAAATTCTGTATCCTTAAACCTATCCTATTGATTCATGTCTGGAAGCCTGTTGACTGAGACAAAAAGAAACAAGCATGACTTAAGCTTAGATTTCGTGGCTATTTTTTCCTGAATAATCAGGGTGTCTGCCTGGTCAGTACTGTTAGGAAGGGTCTACATAATTTATTGTCACTGTCATAAGCTCTTATAAATTGTCCACCTTCCCTCAATCTTAATTTCATGTTTAATTTTGAATTAAATTGTCACAGAATTGACCAGGGAACAGTGTTCTGTAGCAACACTTTTGATCATGTGTTAGGTGGATGAAAATTTTGTGTCACTAAACAGCAGGAAAGATCAGATTGAAAACAAAAAACAGCTGTCTACCTCTCTGGAATATTGACTTCTCAATTTTCTTCCTAAATGAAGATATGAAGTGGCTGTATTTACTTGGAGGTAGTGATGCTTCATGGCTTGTTTCTATGGGGTACAACCCAGCAGAATTATCTTATTATTTTTAAAAAATTTTTTTAAACATTTATTCATTTTTGAGAGACAGAGACAGCATGAGCGGGGGAGGGGCAGAGAGAGAGAGAGAGAGAGAGAGAGAGAGGCGGAATCTGAAGCAGACTCTGAGCTCTGAGCTGTCAGCACAGAGCCCGACACGGGGCTCGAACCCAGACACGATGAGATCATGACCTGAGCTGCAGTTGGACGCTTAACGGACTAAGCCACCCAGGCGCCCCATAGCAGAACTATTTTATAAGTACCATGGGCTAGCCAATTGTGCCACTAGAGCTCCATAGTGAGTTAAACTTTGTTTCATAATACTGATGACAAATGTATAGCTTATTAAAAGTAGGACAACTGCTCTGGCATTTCATTTAATGAACACTGTATAACCTCGTACTTAACTCTGATGGGCACTGAGGTGCTCTCTCACTCTCCCCAGTCGATCAGAACAGCCCCCTGATAACCGTGTCCTCTGATTAATCGTAAAGGCCACAGGGTTGATTGCATCAGTATTTCTTAGCACATCTGTTCGAGGGTGCACGGAGCCGGGTAAGCAGAGAAAAGCCTAATGTGAAATGTGATAAGTGTTTATTTTAGTTTATTTAGGAGTCATCATGTTTTTGTCACACAGTGTGACCGGTCATTTTGTCTTATTTTGTGTGAGAAGTTGTCAGTGCTGCAAGACTGTCACATGAAAGGGGAGAAGAGAAAATGGAGCCAAGCCTTTCCCAAACAGTATTATTCCTGGTCTCAGGGCTACTGAGAGCCACCAGTGTTTGGGTGGGAATCTTTTCAGATTTTTTTTTTTTTTATTTTACAAATTATGTGGTCTTAAAACAGAAACTTGATCCAAAGTATCATTTTGGCTCGAAGAACATTTTAATATTCTGATTTAATGATTTTATCCGATACCACATCTTTACTTAAGTACACCTCTCCCCAAACCTCTCAAGTCAAACAGCAATCGTGCTTTTATGTGCGAAGGTTGTAGTTTGAATGGAAAACGTGTTGCCTATTGTTTTGGTCTCTTGCCATCCTTCCTGGGTTAGTTAGGTAGGACTTTAATGGAGACTGTGATCTTGATTCTTCAGGATTTTCTTTGTAGCAAATCTTGGTACTTTACAGAAGCAAATTCCACCACACTATTTTCATTTCTAAATCTCACTTAAGTGGGGCTCCTGGGCGGCCCAGTAGGCTAATCGTCCAACTCTTGATTGCGATTCAGGTTACGATCTCACAGTTTGTGAGATCGAGCCCCACATCGGGCTCTGGGCTGACCATGCGAAGCCTGCCTGGGATTTTCTCTCTCCCTCTCTCTTTGCCCCTCCCTTGCTCGTGCTCTCTATTTTTCTCTCTCAAAAATAAACAAACATTAAAATGAATGAATGTCACTCAACTAAATTCATAGTAGTTTATTAAAGGATTAGTTGAGATACTTAATATTAATTATATCTTTTTCAATAACATGAAGATTTTTACTTCCCTTTGCTGTCTTGAATACATCTAAGGTTTTTCTCTACAAGCTGTCAAGGATCAGTAAGCAAACTGCTCTGCCATACTTTTGAGTTACAAAACCTGAGCACTGAAGTCAGGAATGGGAGGGCAGAGAATGCCCAGGATACTATTGGCCAATAACCAAACGTAGGAGGGAAACAGGATCCAGTCGGAAGATCTGGGGTTTTCTACGAGAACCACAAGATGTGAGATCCAGCTAGGGGCCAGGACTTGAGCCAAAGTCCCAAATCCCCTACACAAAACCAGGTTTAGGGGCAAGAATGGAAAGAGGACAAAGATGGTGTCTTGCTGATGGTGGGGTGCCGGTGACTCTGCTGTGGGAACAAGCCACCGTGTGTGGCACTGCCAGCTGCACAGGACACCTGTGTGACCAGTGCACACGAGGCCAGACACAGCGGGCACAGAAGGCGGGGAGGGAAGTAGCCAACTGGGGCAGCATCTTCAAGATGTTGAGAATGTCATCCAGCGTTACAGTTTGTCCAGAATGAGGTTAGAGCAAAGCAAACCTAAGCTCCGTGTGTGCGGCATTGCGTTATTGAACACCTGGGGGGCTGCCTTACTTGTGCGGAACTGGATGGCACTACCTCTTCCAGAAACGGTAAGTGGAGGTTAGCGGGCAGTAATTGTCTGCCTCCCTCACTGCCCCCAAACCCAGAGCCTGAAAATTGGTGATATGTTCATGAACCAAAGTTTTGCTTGTTTGTTTGTCTGTTTTATTTTAGGGAGAGAGCATGTGAGTAGGGGAGAGGGGCAGAGAGAGGGAGAGGGAGAAAGGGAATCTTAAGCAAGTTCCAGACTCGGTGCAGAGCCTGATGCAGGGCTCAGTCCCATGACCCTGGGATCGTGACCTGAGCCAAAATCAAGAGTTGGACACTCAACCGACTGAGCCATGCAGGCGCCCCTGGACCAGAGTTTTGATCATAAAATTATTCTGTCTGTTTACATGAATACTTTTAGGCATTGTTTAAACCTTTTGGATTGTTACTCTGTGTATATAGAGTGTTCTTCTGTTTTTCCCCCCCTTGATTAGGGTTTTGCCACTCTGATCCGAGAATGGCCTGGAGATCTGTACAATAATTCAGTAATTGTTCAAGCAGTTCGGGATCACCTGAAGAAAGATAGTCAGAATAGGACCCTACTCAAAACTCTGGCAGAACTGTGAGTACAGTTTAGTGCTGCTTTTTCCAATTCAGTCCACATGAGGAGTTTTTCATATTTTAGATCTAGCGTACTCTGGATGGGGAGGACGCAGAAGAGGGAGCCTTTTGTACCATTTTCCTACATTCGGTCTTAGTAAAGTCCTTTCATAAACCTCCGGTGCACAGCTAGCAGGTGAGGAAAACATGTGAAACTGTACAAATGTAATGCAGTGTGTTTCCCTGAGGAGAGGGGACCCTCGTCAGCAGCTCCACGTAGAGGCAGTGGTTCAGGAAGGGAAGAATGCCAGGTCTTAGATTCCAGAAGAAAATCGGTTTCCCAGGCAGGCTCTGGATTCTGTCACTCTTGGATCTGCGTGTCAGTTAATCTCTCAAACCTCAGCCTCCTTCTCTGTAAGATGGATACATTCCTAATGGGATGATTTAAAAGTTTGAAGGAGAAGTCATAATTAAGAACTAATTAAGCACAGTGCCTGGCACTGAGTCAGAGCCTAGAAAATGGAAGCTTGGTTAATATTTTTTATATTTGTTGGGCACTTCAGGTGAGCTGGGCTTTCTTCTTTATGCCTGGGACACGGGGATAGGTAAGACACAGTCCTGCCTTGGGGCAGGTCTGGTCTAGTGAAAAGAGAAGCATACCACGGGTCACCTCAGGAACCCTGTTCCTGTGTCAGCCTCTCCTGAGCATCCCTACCACCTCAGGCCACCCCTCCCCCATCTTCTTGTGTCTTTTGCCAAGACGAAGAAAGTGCACCAAAATGGCTTAGAATTCAGGGGCGCCTGGGTGGCTCAGTCAGTTAAAGTGTCCAACTTCAGCTCAGGTCATGATCTTGCAGTCCGTGAGTCTGAGCCCTGTGTCGTGCTCTGTGCTGACAGCTCAGAGCCTGGAGCCTGCTTTAGACTCTGTGTCTCCCTGTCTCTCTGCCCCTCCCCCATGCATGCTCTGTCTTTGTCTCTCAAAAATGAATAAATGTTAAATATTTTTTAAATAATAATTGTTAAAAAAAATTTTTTTTATGTTTATTTATTTTTGAGAGAGAGACAAAGTGTGAGCAGGGGAGGGGCATAGAGATTGGGAGACACAGAATCCGAAGCAGGCTCCAGGCTTTGAGCCGTCAGCACAGAGCCTGATGCGGGGCTCGAACTAACAGGCCACGAGGTCATAACCTGAGCCAAGGCTGGATGCTCAACTGACTGAGCCACCCAGGCACCCCATAATAATTTTTAACGAATAATGGACAATTTAGGTTCAGTTGGTTTTAAGGAGCTGGCTTCGGAATTAATGTGAAAAACAGTGTTTCAATAAAAAAAAACACGTGTCAGTTCTATAAGCTCCCCTGACAGAAAAGCTTTTGGGATAGAATCCATTTGCCAGCTGAACACTGCTTATAAAAAATTGGAACTGAATTTTTTTATTACTGGAATAAGAATTCCCTTTGTTTTGGATCATACTTTCTTTGCCTGGTATATGGACTTCTACGAAAAATTTTTGAAAATTTCTATAAAAGAAAATGTTTAGTACTTGACCATTGTAAATTCCCTGAGGTTTGGTTGAAACGGGAAGCAAGGTTCTGAAAAAGAAGTTCTTACTGGTCACATATAGTTAAATCCCAAAGAATAGTCTTCCAAATAAAGTGGACTTTTCTATTTAAACAAATTTTTCAGTTTTTCGTATTGCAAAACATGATTTGTATATGTGTATGTGTGTGTTTAATTGAAGTGTTGATGAACATTAATGTAAAAAATTTTGTATTACCAGGTACACCTATGACAAAAATTATGGCAATGCTCTGGAAATATACTTAACATTAAGACATAAGGATGTTTTCCAATTGATCCACAAGCATAATCTTTTCAGTTCCATCAAGGATAAAATTGTTTTATTGATGGATTTTGATTCTGAGGTAATGCATTTCTTATTTTAATACCGATCAATTATTTTTACTCTTCTAAAGTTTTAATAATTGGACACCTGTTCAAATGCTGGAGAAGGTAATAAATCAAGTAGCTTGGCTGTATAATCATGTTCAGAACACGGATCCTCACTAGATGTTCAGCTATATATATATATTTTTTTGAAGCTTATTTATTTCGAAGGAGAGAAAGAGCATGTATGTGCACAGGGGAGGGGCAGAGAGAGAGAGAAAGAGAGAGAATCCCAAGCAGGCTTGATCTCACAAACCTTGGGGTCATGACCTGAGCCGAGATTAAGAGTCAGATGCTTAACCGACTAAGCCACCCAGGTGCCCCTAGATGTTAAGCTGTTTTAGTACTTGGGATTCAGGAATCCTTTACTTGATGTGGTTATTCTGCAAAAGCAATCATAATCTGATGTGGAACTTGGAAAGTTGTGTGTGTGTGAAGTAATTGTTTCGTCAAACAATTCACATAATTCATAGAAACAGAGAAACTAGCCATACGCTCTGGCTCATTCACCTCTCTTAATCGTATGTTGCAGAATTAAAATTTTAGGTGAACTTCTGTTTTGATCCATTTATTGTGATTTCATTCGTTGGCATTCATAGATTCAGCATGTGGCGTTTCCACTGGGTCAGACGTGGAGAATGTGTTATTTTATTGCATGACAAATTTGAACAGTGGATTGTTTGACCAATGAGGGCACCCAGCCTCCACAGCTCACAGTGGCCTGTGTGTGTGTGTGTGTGTGTGTGTGTGTGTGTGTGCAACATAGAAAGCTAATCACAAGTAACCATGATGGACGTAAAGTTCATAGAACACAGTTCCTCATTCAGAAAATTGAAACGTTAGTTGAAGAGTAGAACCCGTAAGGCTCCAAAAGAATTAAATTGACTTTTTTATTTTATTGCATTAAAGGATGTTCTGCACTATATTATGTATGCACGTATACATGTATATTATGTACATATTATGCTAATGCTACAAATTAGTCGTCATAAACTTAAACTTAAATAGAAGCTAAATCCACTTTTTTTTTCCCTGAAAGATGCTTTTCACCCTTTTTTTGTACTGAATGGTTCAAGTCCTTCGGGACTGCCAATCTAAAAAGAATGAGTGCAGTTCTGAAGAAGTTCAGGGGCAGAGGGGCTGCTTCCCTGGCACAAGATGATTAAGATTAAGAGGATGAAGTGCTTGGGGCGCCTGGGTGGTGCAGTCGGTTAAGCGTCCGACTTCAGCCAGGTCACGATCTCGCGGTCCGTGAGTTCGAGCCCTGCGTCAGGCTCTGGGCTGATGGCTCGGAGCCTGGAGCCTGTTTCCGATTCTGTGTCTCCCTCTCTCTCTGCCCCTCCCCCGTTCATGCTCTGTCTCTCTCTGTCCCAAAAATAAATAAAAAACGTTGAAAAAAAATTTTTTTTTTAAAAAAAGGATGAAGTGCTTATATAAAAATTAATTACATTTCACCTTATCTGTTCTCCCCTTATTCCTACCCCCCATTCCCGCCATGTGTCTCCAGAGCTGAGTTTGACATGTGTAGCTGTAGAAAAAAATGATGAACGAGCTGAGACTAACTGCTGTTCAAGAGTATGAACCAAAGTTGAGGAATCAGAGTTTTCTAATTAGAAGATGCCTTAAGGATAATCTCTACCATCGTCACATTTTAGAGGGGAAACCAGTGGAGTGGGTAGGTAGGCAGCAGCAGACTCAAGAGCAGGACCCAGGCTCAGGTATCACGAATGACACTCCGTCTGATGGGCTGTCTTCTCACTCCCTGTTGTTACAGACACAGTCTCATGTGTGTTTCGTGAATGTTAAAGGTCAATAAAGTAAATCCCGAAAGTATTTGTATCCGTATGAGACTCCAGGTATCTAATTGTTTTCCTGGCTCTCAGCCTCTTCTCCACATAAGACCAGCCCCTTACACCTGTGAAATCCGTAGAGGGTCTCAGTGAAGGTTCAGGCGGCAGGAAGCGAAGCTCACTTTTGTGGTCCTGGGAACAGTATGCTCTCCGTAGCTAGCACGAGTGACAGGAGTGCCTGTGAAGTTACGTCCAACAACACGGAGGCTGGAATATGTGTAGACGAGATGTTTGGTGTTTGGTGAGTTGTAGCAGGACAGTGTTTTAGTGCTTTGCTAAACGCACAGTCCTCAGATTGAGACACATTAAAAATACGCTCATTTACAAATATCTCCCTTAAGGGCTGTTATAATGCAAAGGAACCCATATGTGTGGAAAAGAAACCCTCCACCGTGAACTGACGGCATGCGAGGTACACTGTGTTCAGTGTCCTCTTAACACAGCATGTGTCAATGACTGTGGCTACTTTTTTTTTTTTTATTTCAGAAAGCCGTTGACATGCTTTTGGACAATGAAGATAAAATTTCAGTGAGTGTCTTTTGTTTTCATATGTGTTGCCAGATGAGTGCCTGAGAGCACCCTAGCCATGAGGAAGAGAGATGTTTATCAGATAATCTTGCAGCTATGTTTGTGTCCCCGTGTAACTCCATGTTTAAAAATTCCTTTTCTCTCTAGATTAAAAAGGTGGTGGAAGAATTAGAAGACAGACCAGAGTTGCAACACGTGGTGAGCATGACTGTCTTCATTTGCCCTTTTAACCACACAGTGGTCGAGCCACCTGTCCGTATTGGTGAGGGATATTGGCGTGAATTCGCTCACGTCACTACTCGGATTAGAGGTTTGACCACACACCATAATCCGCAATTAGTTGTGCTCTGACCCCCCCCCTCCCCCCGCCCCTCGCTAGGGACTAATTACAGATTGGGTACTTTAACTTTGACTCATAATCGTGATTTTAAGAAAAGTTATCATATTCATGTTTGTATCACCAAACTGTGTCCAGAAGCAAGGAGTAAGCACCTTGCTTCTGGAGTTACCACTGAATACAACTGCAGCATAAATTACAACACCTCAGAAGGATCCAAGAACAGAGCCCCATTTTTCTGTCCTTCACCCTCATGCTAGCTCATCCCTCTCCTCTCATTTGGCCTCAGTGGTAGTACTGTTAAGGCCTATTCTAGACTTCCTTGAGAGGCTACTTGGATTCCCTAAATAAAGCAGGAGTGCATGTCTTCTGTGTCTTTTAAAAATGATATGAGAAAAGGCTTCAGAGAAAATAGATTGGTCCAGTAGGACTGTGGGCATCAAATTTGATGGGGCTTGATCCCACTTACAATTGGACCAAAAACCACAAAATACTTAGGAATAAACCTAATCAAAGAGGTAAAAAAGATCTGTACACTGAAAACTTTAGAAAGCTTATGAAAGAAATTGAAGACACAAAGAAATGGAAAAACATTCCATGCTAATAGATTGGAAGAAGAAATATTGTTAAAATGTCTATATTACCCAAAGCAGTCTACACATTCAGTGCAATCCCTGTCAAAATAACACCAGCGTTCTTCATAGAGCTAGAGCACACAATCCTACAATATGTATGGAATCAGAAAAGACCCCAAATGGCCAAAGTAATGTTGAAAAAGAAAACCAAAGCAGGAGGCATCACAATTCCGGACTTCAAGCTGTATTACAAAGCTGTGATCATCAACACAGTATGGCACCGGCACAAAAACAGACACTCAGATCAATGGAACAGAATAGAGAACCCAGAAATGGACCCACAGATATGTGGCCAACTAATCTTCAACAAAACAGGAAAGAATATCCTATGGGAAAAAAAAGACAGTATCTTCAGCAAATGATGTTGGAAAAACTGGACAGTGACATGCAGAAGAATGAACCTGGACCACTTTCTTACACCATACACAAAAATAAAACTCAAAATGGATAAAAGACCTAAATGTAAGTAAGATAGGAAGTCATCAAAATCCTACAGGAGAAAACAGGCAGCAACCTCTTTGACCTCAGCTGCAGCAACTCCTTACTAGACATGTCTCCAGAGGCAAGGGAAACAGAAACAAAAATTAACTGTTGGGACCTCATCAAGATAAAAAGTTTCTGCATGGTGAAGGAAACAATCAGCAAAACTAAAAGGCAACTGACAGAATGGGAGAAGATATTTGCAAATGACATACCAGATACGGGATTAGCATCCAAAATCAATAAAGAATTTATCAAACTCCAACACCCCAAAACCAAACAATCCAGTGGAGAAATGGGCAGAAGACATGAACAGACACTTTTCCAAAGAAGACATCCAGATGACTAACAGACATGTGAAAACATGCTCAACATCACTCCTCGTCCTCAGGGAAATACAAATCAAAACCGCAGTGAGATACCACCTCACACCTGTCAGAATGGCTAAAGTTAACTCAGGAAACAACAGATGTTGGGGAGGATGTGGAGAAAGGGAAACACTGTTGCACTGCTGGTGGGAATGCAAACTGGTGCAGCCGCTCTGGAAGACAGTATGGAGGTTCCTCAAAAAATTAAAAATAGAACTACCCTGTGACCCAGCAATTGTACTACTAGGTATTTATCCAAGGGATACAGGTGTGCTGTTTCGAAGGGACACATATACCCTGATGTTTGTAGCAGCGCCATCAACAAAAGCCAAATTACGGCAAGTGCCTAAATGTCCATCAACTGATGAATGGATAAAGAGATGTGGTGTAGATATGGAATTCTACTTGGTGATCAAAAAGAATGAAATCTTGACATTTGCAACAACATGGATGGTACTAGAATGTATTATGCTAAGCAAAATAAGTCAGAGAGACAAATATCATATGATTTCACTCATATGTGGAATTTAAGAAACACAACAGATGAACATAGGGGAAGAGAAGAAAAAATAAAAACAGGGAGGCAACCATAAGAGACTCTTAAATACAGAGAACAGACTGAGAGTTGCTGGTGGGGTGTTGGGTGGGGGGATGGGCTAAATGGACAAGGGGCGTTAAGGAGGACACTTGTTGGGATGAGCGCAGGGTGTTATATGTAAGTGATGAATCACTAAATTTTACTCCTGAAACCATTATTACGCTATATGTTAACTAACTTGGATTTAAATTAAAAAGAAAAAAATTCACTGGGGGCTCTTGTATCTTTGCCCACCTCTTTGCACCCCAAGAGGAGGCTCAGGGGATGGAGTCTTTAATCAGAAGTCAGTTTCACGCAAGAAGCTTTTTGAATACTCCAGGATGGGAATGTGAGGTACTTTGTTTTGTTTCAGTCAGGGGTTGTGCAGATGCTATTGTGATAGCGTTCACGATTGGAAATCTCAAGATTGTCCGCTTTAGCAAGCAAGGTGCCACCATGCTGGCCACTTTGGGATTTGTTTATAAAGTAATGATTTCTGGTCTGCTTGAAGCTTGAGACAGGACTGCCGGTGGGAGGTCCCTGCGTGGTAATTAGTGCAGTGGTGAAATGGTGAGAGCGCCCATCAAAATGGCTCCCCTCAAAGTGGCTCCTCTCCCCTGTCAGGCAACATAAGGTCTCTGAAAATTGGCCTTGGCAGATGTGACCGAGCCTTCCCATCCCATTGCACCTCTGGCGACCTGCACCAAGTGTCCTGCTCACATGGCGACCCCAGTGCTGGGGACAGGCAGGGCCGCCATCAGGCCACCGTGGAGTGCCAGCCACTCTCTGCCCCCTTCTGGCCTTGGGGAGACATGAAGCGTTGACCTGAGGAGCCGTTTCTCTGCGTGCATGTGTCATGCTTAGACTCATTTAGTGAATGTCCAACTCCAGCTAACCCAGTTACAGTCACAGCATCAGGGGCAAACTGAGGCCCCGTTTCTCACAAACCAGTTCACTCGAGGTGGGAATGTACTTTATGTGACAGGTGCCATCAGGACTGTCCGCCTTGGGTGGGTAACAGGGTGTGCGTTTACGCTGAACACTAAGTACACATCAGACGTGGATTTCTGACTTTGGCATAATGTATTGATAGACTTAATCTTGCCTCTGAGTAGAAAGTGAATGACTCACTTCCTTTGAGGTTCATTCACTTTTTCAGACAGCTTAGGGAAAGGAATCGGTTTGGAAAATTGGCTCAGGACACCTGTACTCCTCTTGATTTTTAACCTTGGATGTCACCAGAACACGCAGCATGTCATTGCAGACACAGACCTCAACAAGGCTTAGCAGATGCAGAATGTGTGAGAATTAATTTAGCACTTGTTGCTTGAGCTTCTAAGAACATACTCTTGTCCCATGACTGTACCCCCTTAATGTAGAAGACCACAATTTTTAGGATTTAGGAAGGCCACTAATCAAGCATTTTACTTCTGAGGCGAAGCGGACGATGGTAATGATATTAATAACTATTATTAACCTTTCTCTAGTGCTTAGTAAACGCCATTATGGATCCGAGTGTTTTACACCTGGCAACTCATTCAGTCCTCCCAACAACCCCGTGAGATTTTTGCAGATAGACTCCATCACAGAGAGGTCAGTGACCTGTTGAGGTCACATGGCTGGTTAGTAGAGCCAGGTCACTCAAGGCCGTTCTCAAAAGAGTACCAGAATGTCCTTGCTCTTCTGAAGGTGTTCTTTCCACTTTTCCTCCACCTAGAGATTTTCCTGAAATCTGCTTTTCCCCCAGGCTATTTCGAATCGAACACAGCAGTGTAAACAGGTATTGTTTTTCTTACTCTCATATTCATGGTTTATTCCTTCGTTCCTTTTAGTATCTGCATAAACTTTTCAAGAGAGACCATCATAAAGGGCAGCGCTACCATGAAAAGCAGATTAGCCTTTATGCTGAGTATGATCGACCAAACTTACTTCCCTTTCTCCGAGATAGTACCCATTGCCCACTTGAAAAGGTAAGTCACAGGGGCGCCCGGGTGGCTCGGTCGGGTAAGCGTCCGACTCTTGGTTTCAGCTCAGATCGTGATCTTGCACTTTGTGAGTTGGAGCCCCAAGTCAGACTCCACTCTGATAGCACAGAGCCTGCTTGGGATTCTCCCTCTCTTCTCTCTCTCTCTCTGCCCCTACCCTACTCACGTGTTTTCTTTTTCTCTCTCTCTCTCTTTCTCTCTTTCTCTCAATAAATAAATAAACTTTGAACAAAAAGAAAAGAAAAGGTAAGTGACAGACTCATCCCATACACTTAATGCTGGGGCATCCTAATGAGGACTGGAGGTTCTGTTGGCTAAGATTTTGGTGAAGAGTTAGAGCATTTCTGCTCCAGGTTTAATTGGAATAAAGGTTTAATCCGGGGTCTAGGACTCCATCAACCATCAAACAAAAACGGTATCAGCGGGGCGCTGCGTGGCTCAGTCGGTTGAACTTCCAACTTTGGCTCAGGTCATGATCTCAGGTGGATTTGAGCCCCGTGTCAGGTGCCTGGAGCCTACTTTGGGTTCTGTGTGTCTCTCTCTGTCCCTTCTCTGCTCACACCTTCTCTCTCTCTCTCAAAATAAATAAACATTTAAAAAAAAAATGGTATCAGGAGTCCGAGTCAGTTTACCAGGGTCAGAGTGGGGCCTCAGAGCAACCTAGGAGGGAGACCCAGGCTACCCCAAGCCGGAGGCGGTTGTCTCAGACTCAAGGTCAGTAACTTAGGTCCTGCACCCTGTCTGCTTTCCACATCCACATCATTGGCGTCTCTGTATTTCTCTCTTATGCTACATAACATTATAATAAATTGCTAGTCTCTTTCCCACTATCCTGTACATTCTTTAAAGGACAAGGAGTTTGTCTCACTCATTTTTGATAAACCCAGCAGCCAGCACTCATTAGACATTTCCTAAATGTCTGTTGTACCATGAGTGGGTGAATAAATGACTACGTACAAGATTCTAGTTAGGACTGCACATGAACTAGTAAGTTTCATGAGCCTGCTCTTTCAACACAGTCGATACCTACCATGTTGGTACTAGAAACTGAGCAATCCAAGGCCACAAGTGTTGTTTCCCGTGGTTCTTCTTGCTGTCTGGAATGCTGTCTAACATCTACAGGTATCTTCCTGAATTCAGATGGCCAGGTAACAAATACTTTTTAGTCAGCTGTATGTATCAACAAAACAAAACAAAAATGTATTTGACCCTAAGAGATATGTATTGAGAAGTTGATTCAGGGGCACCTGGGTGGCTCAGTTGGTTAAGTGTCCAGCTCTTGGTTTCGGCCCAGGTCATGATCTCATGGTCTGTGGGTTCGAGCCCTGCACTGGGCTCTGCACTGACAGTGCAGGGGCTGCTTGGAGTCTCTCTCCCTGCCCCTCCCCCACTCACATGCTGTCTCTGTCTCCCACTTGTTCTCAAAATAAATAAATAAAAACTTAAAGAAAGGAATTGATGGATGGTAATGCAGTTGACGTGCACTGACCATGTCTAGAGTTGCTTCTTCAGCCATGTTGATAAATGTATTGGATTTATTATGAACCGATTTCAGCTCAGTTGATTTTCAAAATCTGTACTTAATGAAAAAATATCTTGCCTGCATATTAGTTGATGAAAAACTTTTAACCTTTTTAATTTGGGTCCTAAGACATTTTCCCAAGAATAAATTTGGAAATCCATCATCTTACTCTACAAAATAAAAGAGAGGTTTCCCTCTTCTCGCTACAGACTCTGTAATCTAGAGGACGAAAGTGAGACTCTTACTCTTTGAACAGTGCCCCTCCGTTCGTATCTCACTTTCTGAGGAAATGACATTTGCTTCCAGGAGGAGGGGCTGACGCTGGGTGTGGGTCTCTGTCTGAGGAGTCAGCCGTGACCAGCCGCCTCCCCGGGCTCCTTCTCATTCACAGAACTCAGGTGTGGGGGTGCCACCCAGATCCCAAGATGTTGGCATTTCTCACCCTTTCAACCCATCAGGCGTTTTCCAGTCTAGTAGTGTTCAACAGAAGGCACGCTGTTCTACCTAAAAGGGGAGCCTCAGAAAATTGCAGACCTACGAATGGCACTTGCAATACCTAGAACTTGCTTAGAGCATCATATAGACCTTTTAGAATTTTTCTCCCTGATCCACTGAGAAGAGCCAGTTGCATGTAAATGAATTCAACAGAAGCATATTGAAGCTGATTATGTTTTAAGTAGGTTTTTTTTTTTTTAAGTTATCTCATGTTTTCCACTGAAAGAGAATTTTGAATAAAATGAATTAGAGCTGGTTATGGTACAGACATGCCATTAAAAATAATCAAGTCAACAAGCTACCTTTTTAGAACTTTCTAGGTGAGCTTTCCTGTTACAGATCCTTGAGACTTCTTCATAAGAGATTATCTTTCATCAGATCCATTGTGTATATCCATCTGTATATTCGCACAAAAATACATCATTATCCTTGCTCAGGTACATAATGCCGTCTTAAAGAAGATACACTTTAGTAACTCATGAAGGATCTCATTCTTTTTTCCCTAGAAATGAGAACTTTATAGACATTTAATCATCTTAGAAATCCTTGTATGTTTACTTATAGCCTGAAAAAGAACGAATTCATTCTATATTTACTTATAACCTGAAAAAGCTAGCAGTTTATAAAAAGCAAATTTGCCCCCCATGAAATTCATGCCAAGCATGCTAACTGTGAAGTCAAGGTCATGAGTACAGGTGCACCTGTTCTGTCTAAAGAGAGACTCAGTAAATTTGTATCATTTTCTATTAAATACAAAGTTAAGTACTTAAATTTTTTAATGCCCCTACCAAAGAAATCTCTGTTTCAAAAGAGTGGATAGATGTTTAGTCCTATAAATGCTTGGGTGGTATTTTGGTGTTCATTTTAATTTAACTGGGAAGGGCCTAACGTTTCAGGGCTTTATTCAAAACATGTTGACCCCCTCTTGTTGATAATTCACTTCTGGCAGAATAGTTCTGTCTTTTTCTGGTTTTCTGCCTTTGTGGGGATTTGGGTAATTGTTGAGAGGTAGAGTGACTTCAAATGATGGCTGGGTGAAATCTTCAAGAATCCCAGTAAAACTTAGTTTGTATTTCTTGAAATCCCACAATCGATAATATTTGGCCAAAACTTTATAGAGATTCTGACATCACATCAGAAGCCATAAGGAAGTGGCATTCACAAGGCAGCAGTAGTTATCAAAGACCAGAGTTCAGGATTTAAAATCACCACAACTCCTAAATTCTAAAACTAATCATAAGCCTTTATGAAACTGTTGTTCCTTCTAAAGAAGATAACAGAGGTGGTAGGTATTTATAACATCGACAGCAATTTTAAAAGACCATAAAAATCGTTTATGTTTCCATTGTGCCTTATAACATGTGCCGTGTTTTCATGTACCTTATTTTTATTTAATCTCTACAAAAGCACAGGTAGGTGGATAAAGTCATTTTATCCCCAACAAGCTGAGTCTTCAGGAATTGAAAGAAACAAAACCCAGTCTAGAGCTAATAAGTCAGAGGGCCCAGACTTGGAACTTAGATCTCTTAAGTTAGATGCCCTAGTCTTTCCGGGATGGTGAGGAATCATTTCTCAGGTTTAAAATGTTAATTAAAATAATAACAATGGTAATGAAGATAATCCTTAGTATTGCAAGAATCATGAAAGGCATCAGTTGTTTTTTTTTTTTTTTTTAATTTTTTAAATGTTTTTATTTATTTTTGAGAGAGAGAGAGAGAGACAGAGCATGAGTAGGGGAGGGGCAGAGAGATAGGGAGACACAGAATCTGAAGCAGGCTCCAGGCTCTGAGCTATCAGCACACAGCCCGACACGGGGCTCGAACCCACGAACCATGAGATCATGACCTGAGCTGAAGTCAGACACTTAACTGACTGAGCCACCCAGGCGCCCCAGAAGACATCAGTTTTTAAACTAAATTGTCAACAGGTACTAGTTTTCATTTACAAATCTCATTTGTTTATGCCTAGAATAGATAAAAGCAGAATATCAGCTGTGCAGCTTTGGAAATTGATACCTGAATTTAAGATCTCCCTCATTTGTTATGGCATTTATAAGGTGGCAATATTTATGAACTTGGAGGAATAAAGCTGGGAGATGCAAAGTCCCATTAGTGACCTTTAAAGAGTATACTGTATAAATGATGGCCGGGTCAAGTCTGGGTGGAAGTTATTATTTAATTTATAGATGATCAGGTTCTTGTTAGTTACCCCCAAATTTCTCACTTTGTTCCTTGCCTTTATATGAAATCAGGAAAAGGAAAATTAAAACATTACTTCTGCATCATTTTTTACTCCACTTCTGTCATTATTATTTTTCCTTTTATTTTTGTTATGATTCTCCCTTTCTGTCTGTGTCCGTGTTGGTCTCTGTGTCTGTCTGTCTCCCTCCTTTTTTGGCTTTAAAAATCTTAGTTTCCCTACTGTTTCCTCTAGAGGGAGCACTGTGGCCCAAGAACATTCAAGAATCTAGGGAAACATGGTTTTATGCACTATGTCAATAATAGAAAAATTCTGTGTACCAGAAATATTTTCTTTTTACAGTTTACTCAGAATCGGTGATATTTCTAGAGTCTCTGCTCTCTCATATAAGAGAAAAGAAGAATAATTTCAGATACTGTCAAAAACTAGTCCTAAAACATTTAAAAATCTGGGAAACTCAAATTTCAGAGACTCAGATTATCTTTGAGCTTGTTATTATACATCTGCTTGCATTCCAGACCATTCTTGACTTCAGACTTGCCTTTAGACATTTCTTCCCACATGACTTGTCATTTTTCATAATATCCAAACAGAGCTGGCAGCATCATCCTGTGGAATGTTCTACAGTGATGAAACTGTGCTGCCCTGACAAGATAGCCAGGAGCCACGTGGGACAGTCAGGTGGTCAAAAAGCATCTAGTGAGGAACTGAATTTTTAATTTGAATTTGAATAGCTACATGCAAGAGACTGCTGTCTTAGACAGCTCAGGTGAGTCCTCAGGCTACAAAGTCCGTGTGGTTTGAGACAGACATGTTCTTAAATGCTCAAGAGAAGGGGAGATGGCTTTGTTGGAAACTTCTGGTACTTTAGTGTCAGCAAATTTCCCAGTATGAAACTGACTTATAGATACCTTTTGGTAATAAACTAAGCAGTATACTCTTTAGTCACACCATCTTCCTTTAAACATTCTACCTGTCCGGTCATATCACATTTTGTTGTTTATCTGTGCACAACATAGTCTCACCCAGCCATAAGCTGTCCGTCTGTCTAGCAGCTCGCAGGAGTCAAGGTCCTCAGCTTGTTTCTTTATAACTTTTTGTTGGAATGGTCCCCGGTCCTCTGGACTTCATATTTGTTTGCTGTTTCCTTTCACAATTTAACTGCTCACATGTGTATCCTGTCTCTGCTCTAGAACATCCCAGAAGGGTAAGGAATCCGTAAGAAAGTTACATTGTTTGTGATGATGATTCATTTATGGACCTGACGGTATAGAGATAGGGTAAATCGTGTTTTTGATCAAAACAAAGGAAGATCTTCTAGGTGTTAGTTAGGATTAGGTTCAGCTATGAGCGATAAAAATCCCAAAATAATAGTGGCTTCAGCAGAGTAGCCACATGGAAGTCAAGTTCTCTGTCACATGGAAGTCCAGGTGGCAGAGCCCTGTCGGTGGTGGCCGCCACGCGGTCTTTTCTCCTGGTCTCTCACCTTGTAGGACCTCGAGCTGGAGGTATAAGATAGTATCATTCATGTTTCCGGGAGAAGATTGGGTGAAAGCACTAAAAATAAGAAAAAGCGTTGACTCGCATTGCTTCTTTTT